ACAAAGAACAGTTTTCTTGGTAAAATAATGAGAGAATAGGGAAGAACTTGTATTTCTAGGGCTAGCACAGTGCTTGATAATTTATTGAATGAATGAGCAGTTGAACAAATAAGCAACGAGAGACTATAATCAAAGAAAAGAAATAATGAGTTTAAAGTTTTGTAGGTACAACAATTCTCAATCCTGTCCAAGTCCCATATGGCTCAGGCAGACTGGAGAGAAGTCACTAAAACTGAAGAAGTTGGTTTCAATTGAAAGAACTGAAAAATCAAGAACTGAGAGATCAAGCTACAAGCTGTATCATCAATGTAGCTATTAAAGTTTTTAAAGAAAAATCAGCATGAAAATGAAAGGTATAAATAAAGAGCCAAAATTATAAAGCTAGAAGAGAGTTGTGTCAAGTAAAGCAACAAGATGAAGTGGAGGAAAACATTACGTTGCAACAGTTGCGTAATCATGATCTCTCATCAAGGGGATGGAGACACAGTCTATAGAGAAGGATGAAAAGATTGTAGAGGGAGAAATGATAACTGATGAAAAGCTGTATTTCAGCTAAAATAAAGAAAAGAGCCTGAAAGTAGCTCACAGATGGGCTCACTGCCACACCTTTGTCCATATGGAACTCACATTCTGCAGTACTGGGGACAGGCAAGGCTGGGCATTTGCCCGGTTCTATCAACCAGGATACCATATGTGTGGATAAAGCTGGCAGTGACTCAGAAATACCATGGCATATTGAAAAAAAAAATCAGCAGCTGATATGGCTGAAGATTGAAGTAACGTGCAGAAAATAATAGATGAAGCTAGAAAGCTAGGCAGGGACTATATAGGGAGGTCTTAGTATGTAGAACAAGAAATTAAGATTTTTATCTTTTAAGCTATCAAGGATCAACAGAAGTTGTAAGTAGTTAACTAACACAAAATCACTTTGGGGGCAGTAAAGAGCACATATTAAAAGAAAGGGAGACTGGTGGCAAGGGGCTAGTTTATGGGCTAATGCAATAGTCTAGTCAAGAGGTATTGAGTCTTAAGTATAGCCATTCAGTCACACAAATATTTAATTAAGAAGCATATAATATATGCCTGCTCTGTACTAAGTGCTAGAGAAATCAAATGAAAAAGATATAGTTACTGTTCTCATGGAGATCAGTCTGGTTAGAGAAGTAACATAAATGATTATAGCAGTGTGATAAATTCAACAATGGAAGTGTATACAGGTAGCACAGAGAAAGGAGTGTGTAATTCTGAAGGGGAGGCCCTTGAGATTTTCATGGATTATGTCAGATTTTCCAGGTGTGAGTTGCTTATATGGTCTTCAAAAGGAGATGACCAGGAATTTAGAGCTCAACAGAGAAGATAACGACAATGATGATGATAGCAATCAACATTTATATTGCACTTACTACATGTTAGTCAGTGTTCTAAGTGCTTTACATATATTAACTCAGTTAATGCTCACAATAACCCTAAGAGGTTAAGTGCTATTACTATTCCCACTTTATAAAAAAAGAAACAGGCATAGAAGGGTTAAGTAATTCACCCATGGTCACAAAGGCTAAGCGGTGGAACCAGGATTCTCACTTAGGCAGTCAGGCTCCATACTGTCTCTCTTAGGTGGAGGTAAAGATTTGGGACTTACATCATATAGTGGTAGCTGATGACCCAAGTGCAGATAAGGTCCACCAATGAAGTATATAGACTGAGAGGAAGTCTGAGAATGCAAGACAAGGGGAGGGAGCAATAAAGAGTTTCAAATATCTATAGAGAGGTGGGATAAAATAAGTTCCAAGAAGAGTCTACTGCATTTGACAACTGGGTTATTACGGACCAATTTTAAACAATTTAAGGGGAGTGGCAGAGGCAAGAAAAGGGATCTAGAGATAATGGGAGGTAAAGAAGTACAGACTACACATTAACTACTCTTACAAAAACTTGGGCTGTGAAGAGAACAAGTAGCAGGCTACAGTGAGCAGCAAGAGGGAGACTGTGGCTCCAAGAAGAGGTTTTTTCTTTCTCCCCTCCTTTCCCCAAGTGGAAAAGCCATGAACATGCCTATCACCAGAATAAAGGTACCAGGGGGGAAGGAATAGTGACTGAAGCTATAAAGCAAAAAAAAAAAAGACGACTGATAAACAAGTTCTTGGAGATGTGAGAAGAAAGGAGCAGCCTTAAGTGGGCAGATGAGGGGCAGAAAAGTGGAGAGTTCATGTCTAATGGCCTCTATCTTCTCTGTGAAGCAGAAGGTAAGGTCCACTACTGAGTGACAGATCTAAGGAAAACCTTAAGTTTTTAGAATAGTCACCAAAAGGAACAGAAGATTGAGCAAATCAAAGATAAGAAATTTGCTGAGATGTAAAAAGCCAGTGGAAACTAGAAGAAAAGCCAGGCATATATACAGGGCATCAATCCTCTCGGTTAACGCATTTCTCCTGCTGTGTTTAGCAACTCAGGTAGGAGAAAAGAAAAGGCAGATTTTATAACCAATACAGGATTTCAAGTTTACAGAATGGGTAGAGCCTAACAACAAGGTGGCAAGAGAGCATGCTGGTGATAATTCATATATAGCTCCATGGATTAGATGAGGAGGCAAAGTCAGGAAGAGATGGATATGGATAGCCTGGAAAAAAAACTAGAGAAGTCAAGGAAAAGGAAACATCATTAAGAATGAAAGTAGGAAAGGAGTAGGAGAGGAGGAAAGGAAAGAAATTATAGTAAGGTCCACGTGAGCAGAGATCATGTCTGTTTTGGTGACCTTTGTTTAGTTACAGTAAATACATACCTATTGCACGAATAACTGATCAAAGAATAAAATATTGGCGTTTAAGATTTGCCTTAAACAAAATGACAAAATTGAGGGGTATGCTCATTGATGTGAGTTGTTGAATAAAAATGAAAAGCAGGGTCCCTGAAGACAATACAGTTAAGGTACAGTGAGGCTTAAGGAATGACTGCATCCTCGATGGTGTGGGTTAGCATAGAGAAGACTCTGGAACACACGACAAAGTCTAGGTGAGGGACCAAAAAAAAGTTGACAGACGATAGTGACAAGGAATTGAATGAGTAGAATAAGACTGCTGAGGCCTCAAAGGAGAAAGATTTTGTTTCAAGGTGAAAAACTAACGCTTTGAGAATAGCACTGAAAAGCTGGGAGAACAATAACTTCTGCCTTCCAGCCTTGAGACAAAGGGTGGGGAAGGAAGAGGATATGGGAGAATAAGCAGCCCCTGCCAGAGAAGTGGTGTCCTTGGGAAACTGCCAGGTTTCAGTTAAGGCCAGGAGGGGTAAGGAACATTATGTGAAGAGGAACAGGGGCTCCAGAAGGCAGAGTGAAAAGGGGTGGGAGGAAAGCCGTGGGAGGAAGAGCTAGAAGGGAAAGAACAGAGCAATATGGGAATGAGATTGTGAAGACAGGAAGCCAGAAAGGCTTGTATTTTGGTTATTGCAAGGATGCTAGGGATGAGAGTTATGGAAACAACAGCTGAAAGGGTTGAATCAGAACTTTGGAACAAAGCAGTTTGGGTACTGGTACTGGTCCAAGCGTCCTCAGAGTTTCAATTCTAACAGCCTCTTAGGTATTTCAATCAGAGAAACAGCAGGTTCTTACCCAGTGAGACCAGGTTTCCATAATTCTCCATCATGACATCTTTATACAGGCTTCTCTGAGCTGGATCCAGATAATCCCACTCCTCCTGGGTAAAAAACACAGCCACATCCTCAAATGTCAGCAACCCCTGAAATAGTATGATTTCTGTAGTCAGTTCCTGTTGTCTCAAGGACAATTCTACCACTGAAAGTAGCAGAAGCAATCACTCATCAGGGCCGGGTAGGCTAGGAGGAACACGGTAACTACGAGTTCCAAATGGAGCCCAATTCAGGGAACCGACTGTAACAGCCAGGCACCTCGAACTAGAGGATAACTGAGCTGGATCCTTGTTCTCGGTAATGAGGGGATTCAGGCTAAGGCTTTTCTGGTTTAATAATCATGCCCTAATATCTTTATTTTAGTAAGCTGCCCCAAGGCCTCCCCAAGCTTCCTACACCTCAGTGCCCCGCTCCAACTCTCTATTCACACTGGCTTGAGACCCTATTCAATTCAAGTCCATTAAGTTCTCTAAGCGCCTACCTTGGGTCCAGGCATCGTGACAGGCACAGAAGACACAGGGGAGGGTCAAAAATGATGCCTTACCTGCAAGAACTCAAATGAGATCACTAGTTTGGAACATTACTAATTTTCTCCAGCTGACTTATCAAGTCGCTCTTGAAAAAAAGGAGCCAGTGGGCAGTCTGGTGGCGAACCGCACCCCAGGACACTAGGGGGTACTTCCTTGCACGGCGCTGGCCCTAGAGACCACGGTCGGGGGGCGGTGGCGCGGCCTAGCGCGGTAGCGGCGACAGAACGGGGATACCCGGAGGGGCGACTTACCTTTGGCTCCGGCGGGGGGCTCGGGGAAGCCATCTCCCGGACAGAAAATCAGGGCAGGAACCCGGGGCGGCCGCACGCAAAGGAGCCTCCGGTGAGGCCTACCCGGCCGGTGGAGAAAAGGCCCGACGAAGGCGAGGCCTCCAGAATGGGTCTGGCCAGGTCCTGCCTCGGTCCCCGAGCGGTCACGACCCCAGCAGCATACCACACGCACTATTTGGCCGCCCCCCAACTCCAAACCCCCTCCCCTGCCTGGCTACGCAGCCTCCTAGGCCTTGCTGGAACCTCCTCCCCGTTGCCAGTTACTCTTCCTTTCAGCCAAGGAGCTTTATGACCGCCCGCCCCCGGACCAGAAGGCGTCACCCGGAACCTTCCCGGGACGCCCCTAAACTACAACTCCCGTCATGCTCTGAGAGAGAGCGCCTCCGTCCAGCCTCCGCCGGCAATGGCTACCGGACTACATTTCCCGGCGTGCAAAGGGAGAGGGAGCCGCTGGTGAGTCAGGAAAAAGGGAACACCTGCCACTAAGCTTACACCCGATTGGTTAGTGTTGGCGCGTCACTGCCGGCTGAGGGCGGAGCTCTGATCCGTAACTCCCCTCGGAGATGGCGGCGCTGTGGGTGTCCGGCGTTACCCGAAGAGGCGTCGCGTGGATAGTCTCAGGGGCGCCGCGCAGAGAATTTTGGTCTCGATTCAGGTAAAGCGGAAAGGTAGACGGTGGGTCACGTTCATGGAAAGTAAGGAGACAAACTGAGCAGGATAAAGGGACGAATTCATAAAGGAGTGTTGTGAGAAAGTGCGTTAGGGTTCTGAGTGCAGAGATCTCTAAGATTCAGAGATGAAGTGCAGCCTCCTCATTTTGTTCGTTTGTTCATTCATTAAGTCACCCGACAGATAGTGCTTACACTCCTACTGCGGCCCAGCATCTTCCTAAGTAGGACGCAGCGGAAGCAAAGTCCCTTCTCAGAGCTTAAGCACTCTGACGTGTGAGGAAACTGAGGCGCCACAGAAGTATTTTGCTAAAAGTCACAGAGCAAGTTATGGCACAGCTGGATCTAGAATCCAGGTCTCTTGACTCCCCATCCGCTGCTTATCCCACAGCACCATGTGGAATCTTTTGAAGGTAAACCTGTTTGCCTCAGATAGTGTTAGGACATCAAAATCTGTGGGAACCTCAGGGAACAACGTATGCCCTCAGCTTTCAGACAAAAACTCCTTTAGTCCAGAAGGATTTTTGTTATCGGCTCAGGTATTTTTCAGCTTCCCGTCTTTTTTGGTTAGTATTTGTTATTATCTCTCGAACCTCCTTCAAATTTGTTCCATTCACTCATTCAGCAAATATCTGTAGTGTCTGCTATAAACTAGGTGTCTAGGTGTTAGGGATACAGTTGTTAATGAGACAGACCTAATCTTTGTCCTCATAGAGCTTAGGTTCTGGTGGAGGAAAAAATGAACAAACGTAGAGTATAATTTCTGAAAGTGGTAAATTGCGAAGAAAACTAGAGCAGTTTAAGAGATGACTGAGATGGAAGGAATGGATTATACTTCATTCTGATGAGATGTGACTGGAGTAGTTTAGGAGAAAATGAAAGGTGAGGAAGTAGAGACAATAAGTATAGACAACTCTTTTGAAGAGTTTTCTTGTAAAGGAAGCTGAAAGGGAATATGGAGTCATGGGGAATTTTTTTCTTTAAAGATGGGAGACATTACAGTATATTGTGTGCCCTGGGAATGCTCTAGTAGATGGGGAGAAATTGATAAAGAATTGGTGCAGAAAGAGGGATAAATTTCTGGAAGAGTCTTTGAGTAGACAAAGAGGAACAGCATTACAAACCATATTCTTGGCCAGACATCGTTCATTTCTGGTGCCTCCAATTTTAGGGATGCCCGATCCTGATCAGATGCCAGCTCCTTGGAAAACAAATATTTCATTAAGCGCTGAAATAGTGTATCAGGCAGATTCCGTCACATTGGCCCATGTACTCAACAGTAGTTATTCAAGCAGTTTTCCAAAGACCTCCAAATCAGTAAAAGAGGTCTCTGTATTCAGGACTTTATAATCTGGCACAGTGGTTCTTCACTGGGGACATTTTTGCCCACCAGGGGACATTTGACCATGTGTTTTGGTTATCATGACTGGAGGACAGGAGTGCTACTGACATTTAGTGGGTAGAGGCCCGGGAGGCTGCTAAGCATCCTGCTGAGAACAGGACAGCCCCTCACAACAAAGAATTATCTGGTCCAAAATGTCAATAACGTTTGGGTTGAGAAACCCTGATCTAGTAAGAGAAGTAGAGTGTAAATAAAATAAAAACTCAGGTAGGATGCGACATGCCCTGAGAGCGATATAAAGTGCTATAGGAGATCAGAGGAACTTGCAGTTACATTTGATTGGGGAAATCAAGTAAAGCTTCTTGGAAGAGAATAGTTTTGTCCTAGGACTTAAAGGATAAGTCAGAAGTAGGTGGAGATGAGAGGCATTTCAGACAGGATATGACCTGAGCTAACACACAACATCAGGAAAGTGGGAAACAGAATGTAGTTTAGTTTGGGTAGGGCATAGAGTATATATAGATTATAGGGAGATGAGGTTACTGAGGTAGATTGGGTTTGGATCTTGGAGGACAGACAACTTACCTTCTTCACCCATCCATGGGAATTCTTAGAGCGTGTAGAATCTAACGACCTTTTGTTTTCTGCCTGTGCCAGCTCAGTTCAACTATAAGCTTCCAAGGGCGGGGACCTATCTTATTCTTTCTTCTCTTCACAGTGCCCGGAAGAGTAGTAAGTGTGCAAATTGTTGATTTAGATTGATGGGCAAGATTGGGTCTGGTGTTTGTCAACTTCATTAATGCGGTGAACTAAAGATTCACCTATTTGTTTGATCATTTCAGAAAAGAGAAGCCAGTTGTGGCTGAGATAGAAGAGGTGAAGGAAGAACCTATACTGGTGTGTCCACCCTTACGAAGCCGAACATACGTACCACCTGAAGATCTCCAGAGTCGTTTGGAATCTCACGTCAAAGAAATTTTTGGCTCATCTGTTAAAAGCAATTGGCTGGACGTCTCCCTGGATGATGGTCGTCTGAAGTTCAGTTTCTTGGCACGTTTAGCTGATGACTTGGGCCATGCGGTGCCTAACTCCAGGCTTTACCAGATGTGCAGGGTCAGGGATGTTCTTGATTTCTATAATGTGCCTGTTCAGGATAGATCTAAATTTGATGAACTTATGGCCAGTAATTTGCCTCCCAATTTGAAAATCACTTGGGGTTACTGAGCAATTCAGAAGAGGAGCACGTTGAAGCCATTTGTTTCCCTCTGAGCAAGGAGGCTTGTCAGACCTTTTGATACTTTACTGTGTGAAATGCTATCAGACTGTTCTCAAAACCCACTATTTCTCTGGGAGAATGCATTGTCTCTTTTTGTTCCCTCATATCATGAATTGACAATAGGATTTTCTTTTTTCACATTTGCTGAAACTTTTTTGTTTTTTTAATGGAATCAGGTCATTAATATTTTATGAAAATTTTCTTCTCTGGAAAACATTGTAGTTAACTTGGATTTAAGATATGAAGCCATTACGTGTTCAGACGTGGTCTCTATTCTTCATAGGCATAGAAGAGTAGATGCAAGAAAAAGTTTTAATCTTGTTAGGACTCTTAAATCTAAGATGGTATTATATATAGTACGTATACAAATAAGGAAACTTAGATGAGATATTTTAAAAGAAACATAAAAATCTATATTGTGTGTTATAGAAAGTTGTTTCACTGTTGGCTTTACCCCCAAGTAAAAATAGTAGAAAACGGTACTGTTCATTCTGGATGAATCTCTTTCAGAATTAAAGTAGATTTCTTGAATGTGTGTTGTGTGTTTTCATTTTTTTAACGATGGAATCTGCTTTTCTGCCTTGTCATTTCCTGAATTTAAATATTATAAATGAAAAAATTAGAATATTTGCCAACTATTAAGTGCTGACTTTTATTTTAAATAAGAGATATACCAGATTCTATATCTAAATGAATATTCTTTTCAAAGGAGATGGTGTTTATTTCAAACCATTTATCTTTTCTGTAATTTTTAAAAGTGGCCTTGAGGACCTATGAGTATCCACTAGGGTGGTAAGTCTTTGCAGACTTTGGTCTACTTAATTTGTGGAAATTACTCAAATATCAAGTTACCAGATGGTTTTAAATGACAAAATGATTAAATGAGGAAGTGATTAAATTAGAGATTGTTTTTTATCAGATTTTAGATACGGCTACAGAGTAATGAGACAGGGAGAGGGAATGTCTTGACTCTAATAATTGTGAAAAAAAGTGGTAGGTTTTAAACAGGAAAATTTCATTTATTTTTCCCAGGGTGACTTCTTTGAAGAGGGCAAAAATCAGTTGGGTATTTAAAGTCTGGCATGTTTGTTAGAAAAATTAGTTACACTACAGTCATGCCCTATAAATGTCATCAGCAGACAATCAGGTTTTCAATAACCTATGTTTAAGAACTTCAGAAGTCTGGAGTGTCAGAGTGTTTGGAGACCTAGAGCTTAAACATGAGAGCTGTTACATCCCTTCTGCTGTGTGAAAAGGGTTCAGCATGGAAACATTTGGATTTTATAATCAGGATTTGATTTTCCCATTTCCCACACAACTTTTACTTACAATCTGGAGACACAGAAAAATGCAACAGGCAAGATGGAAGTAAGGGATGGTAAGGGTAGTGTGGAAAAACACTTGGTTTCAGCTGGAGAACTGCAAAACCGGGCTTCACGTCAGTGTTAAATCAAAAGCAGTTACTCCTTTGTAGCTTAGAGCAGTGTTTCTCAAAATTTAATACGCTGGTGAATCACTTGGGGATCTTTCAAAAATGCAGATTCTGATTCCTTGGGTCCAGAGTGGGTCCTGAGCTTCTGCAAGTCCAAAAAGCTCGTAGGTAATGCTGATAATGTTTTGAGTAACGTGGCCCTTGTTAAAATCAAAACCAAAGGAAGACCAGCCTTGAAGCTTCTCTGAGCAGACAAAACTAGTTTAGTCATGAATTGAGCTTAATTACCAGTCACTGTGAAGACACTGCCTTCTCACTGTATAAGCTGCTTTGTAATGATATACCCCTAAACCTCATTCCATGTTTTGGTTTGGGTGCTCCTGGTTTACAGACTCTTTGGTGTATGCACAATAAATTTTTACTAATTATTACTTTGGTGGTTCATTGGTTTTATTTTGGCTATTTCTGAACTTTTGACACCCTAGATGCTAGTACTGAGGTGGGAGACAATCCACCCCCTGAAACAATAGTCCTGGAAATTTTAGCTAACAGGTAAGGTAAACTGCACACGCATCAGTAACTCTAGAGGGCGTCACTGGTTTACAGTCCAGTACAATGAATATATCAGAATAATGACCTAGTTTTCCTGAGAAGATTAAATTAGATTTGCTAACTTGTTTACAGAGGTAACCAAACATGTGACGTCATTATAAAAGGTTTACATTTAAAAAACTTAAATGATTGCTATATAAAAAGTTACCAATTATTTTTACTTAGTTGGGCCTTTGAGCTCAGTAAGTACACTTACCTAAAACCTGCTAATAAAATAGAGATTTGGGGTTAATAGAAATTGGTCTTATATAAACAGTATGTATTTCAAGCAGCATAAAACAGGCTTCTGTTTTTTAACATGTCAATTTTCTGATTATAAAGGTAGCACATTTTTTAAAGAAAATTGGGAAAGAGAAAAACAAAAATATCATTTCTATCCCACTGCTCAGATAATCACCTAACATTCTGGGATATTTCCAAATGAAAAAAAACCTTTTTCCTGTATTTTAAAGTTTACTGTGACATCATGTCGCCTTACCCCCTTCACATTACAATCATTTCTGCTTATCTTTATATAGTCTTAATAACAAATTTGATTAATAGCATATTATTTCGTAACTGGGTGTTATGTAATCAATCTATATTCTGTTATGGGATATTTAAATTGTTGCCGGTTTTTAGCTTTTATGTTGTTTCTTATCCGTTTTTTCTAGTTCTTTGAGTATTGGTTTGCCATAAAACTCCCTTCTACTCGGAGATGGAAGTCATTCCAATGTAAATTTCTTGACTCTAAACCTAGGAATGGACAACTTGGTCCTGCCTCTTTGATTTGTAATCCCATTAGCATGTGTTCTGTGTATCCTAAAGTAGAAAGTGACAGGCACCTTGAACGTAATTATATCTGCATGCATGAACTTAATCTTATCTGTAATTACTTTTCTTTCATTTTCATTAGATTATTTCACAGTGCAAAAGTCCTAAAGTTTTTACTTGAATGGTTTCTGAATTCAAAAGTAATATCTCAAGTTAACTTCTAATTCCACAGAATTCCAATGTTATTCTTAGTTGTATAGTAGCACACTACAGCTACCATCAAATTTCTGCTTCTTTCCGTCACTGAAATATCAAATTCAAAATATGTAACACTGATGCAACACTTACTTATACACAGTTCATATTCAAATTTCACCAATGTTCCAGGAATGACCTTCATATCAATTTCACCCCCTGATCCAGAGTTCAGTCCTGGTTCATGCTTTGCCTTTTGTTGTCATGTCTACTTAATCTCCTTTACCTCAAAACAATTCTTCAGTAATTTGTATTTTACACTGAACTTATTCATTTCATCTAAGTTGTCAAATTTGTTGTCATAAAGTTGTTGATGATATTCTCTTATTTTCCTTTTGATGTCTATTGGATCTGCAATGATAAGCCCTCTTTCGTTTTGGGTGTTTGTTATTTGTATTCTACCTTGTTTTGATTTGCTCAGTCTAGCTTGAAGTTTACCAGTTTTGTTGCTTTTCTCAAAGAACTAACTTTTGTCTTTGTTAATTTTTTTCTGTTTAGTTTCTATTTCATTAATATGTACTTTTATTATTTCTTTTCTTCTATTTACTTTGGGTTTACTTTCCTCTTTTTTCTAACTTCTTCAGGTAAAGCCTTAGGCCATTGACTTTAGTCCTGCTTTTCTAATGTAAGTCATTAAAATTATAAACTTCCCTTTTGAGCTTTAGCTTCATCCTACAATTTTTTTTATATTGTACTCCCATTATCATTCAGTTTGAAATATTTTCTAATTTCTGATCTGATTTCTTCTTTGACCCATGGATTATTAGAAGCGTGTTTGATTTTCATATATTTGGGGGTTTTCTAGCTCTTATTGTTATTAATTTCTAATTTAATTCCCCTGTGGTCAGATAAAATACTCTATAATTTCAATATTTTTGCATTTATTAAGATTAATTTTACAGTGAAGTTTATGGCCTATCTTGTTGAATGTACCACATGCACTTGAAGTTGTTGGGTTCTACAAACAGCAATTAGGTCCAGGTCATGTATAGTGTTAAATCTACGCCTGTACTGATTTTTGTCAAAATGTTCTATTAATTGCTGAGAGTAGGATGTTAAAATCTCCAACCACTATTATAGAATTGTCTATTTCTCTCTTTAATCCTGTCAAATTTGCTCCATATATTTTGAAATCCATTATTAGGATTTATGATTTTTATAATCTTGTCATCATTATCTTTTATCTCTGATAGTACTCTGGGTCTTGAAATCTACTTTATCTGACATTAATATAGCCACTTCGGGTTTCCGATGCTTACTGTTGCACGCTGTATTGTTTTTCATCCATTTTACTTGCAATCTATCAATGTGAATTACATTGATAATTTTTCACCACAATGCTGACTCTTGGTAATCCCTTCTTTGTTTTTGTTTAAAGATTTACTCTAAAAGTATGCCCTATAGTTTTAGTTTAGCACATATAAATTTATAAGATTCATTTATGTGAGTTCATTTATGACTGGCATCTAACATTCAATGTTACGTTTGTGAGATTGATCCAGATTATTGCATGTAGTTGTGATTCATTTATTTTTATTGCTTTATAGTATTCCACTGTATGAATATGCCAAAATTTATTCATTCATTTTATTGTTAATAGATATTTGGTTGTATCCAGTGTTTTAACATCTTGAAAAATGCTGCTGTGAATATTTTTGTACATATTTCCTGATACGCTTGTGCACACGTTTCTGATGGGTATGTCTCTAGAAATGGAATTGCTGGGTCAAAAGTTATTCATATTGTCACATTTAGTAGATGATGCCAAATTGCCTTCTAAAGTGATTGCATCCATTTACATTCCTCTAGCAGAGTTTGAGTCTTGGTGATCCACTTCCTAACCAACTCTTATTATTTTCAGAATTTTACTTTTTTGCCATCTTGTGAGTATAAATATACCCCATGATTTTAATTTGCATCTTTCTAATAACTAATGAGATTAAGCCTTTTTTCCATATGCTTATACTTGTGTTTCCTCTCCCATAGAGTGCCTGTTGAAGTCTTTTTCTCATATTCAACTGAGAGTTTCATAAATTAATTTTTTAGGAATTGTTTATGTATTCTGCTTAATAATTCTTTATCAGTTTTATGTGTAGCATAAGTCTATTGCAAGATAGCGGCTTGTGTTTTCAAGGTTTTTGGAGTATTTGGCTGATCAGAAGTTCTTAAAATTCAGGAAGTTAAATTTACTAATAGTTTCCTTAAGTTTTCACTTTTTAAATGCTCTGTCCATCACCTCAAATAAATAAGGACTCAATAATTTTATGGAGATAGTGCTTTTATTTTCTTGTCATGTAAAATCCCACTAATGCTCCATTCGATAGCTATCTCAAGAGCCCTTGTGAATTAGTTGAGGAGGGGGAGGGAATCAGTGGGAGATTTGGTGTTACTCAAATTCTAAAGGTAGAAATTGTGCCATAGGGAAAGTATTTTGTTACTGTGACCACACTTGTAGTTCTCAGCTAGTTCAGAACCCTTTGGTGGTAAGTCAAAGCCCTTGACTTCTTTATTTGCAGAGGAAGGATATGCCCAAATGGTACCAACAGAGGTCAAACAACTTGTTTGTCATGGAAATTAATAAAATATATGAGTAAAAGGTAGGGGCTATCCCTAAGGGTGCGAGATTTAGAGAACACAGAGAACAAAAAGAAGGAAAATAGGAGAGGACTCGATAAATTTTAAAAGTTAATAGGAAACTAGTGCAAGAAGTGGGCAGTAAGCTGGTAATTCTCTTACATTAGCTCGGTTAGACTTAACAAAAGACATATTTGAGGTTTTGACCATCAGAACAACTCTTGGTAGTGTCATTCTTCCTTTACTGCTAGAAAAGAGGGCTCAAGAGGAAAAAGTCAGGTACTTTGGCTTGTTATCAGGGCTCTCTCTTCTGGGCAGATTGGA